CCTTTTAGTCATTGGCGTGAGAAGACCAAACAGAGATGGAAACAAAGGAAGGCTTTAATTTTTGGTTCTCTGAGACAGAAGTGCCAGTGTGAGACTTTAGGTAATACCTAACATTTGTTTGATCTTTAATATCTCCTAGGTATTCCTTTAAAAAGTACTTTGATTGGGCCTGGTGTGGTGGCCTTGCGGCTGAAGTCCTTGCCTTCAACGCGCCAGGATCCCACACGAGTGCCAGTTCTCATCCCCTGTAGTCCCACTTCCCATCCATGCTTGTGGCATGGGAAAGCAGTAGAGGACGGCCCAAAGCCTTGGGATCCTGCACCCATGTGGGAGACCAGGAAGAAGTTCCTGGCTCTTGGCTTTGGATTGGCTCCACTCCCATCCATTGTGTTCACCTGGGTAGTGAATCATCCGATGGAAGATCTTTCTGTCTCTCCTCTCTGTATATCGCACTTTACAATAAAAACAAAATAAATATTAAAAAAATCTTCCATTTAGCAGATGAGAAAACAGATACCCACAGATATTAAAGTAATTACCCAAACTCACACACTTAGTAGGCAGGAAGCTGAGGCTCAATTTGGGTTAGTCTGCACGCAACTACATGAATTAAAAATTGACCTTCTTTTTGTAGAAAGTATTGTTTTTCTCAATTTATATTGCTGAGAATCAGAACAACTTGGTTACTTAAAAACTGGTGAGAATCTTATTCTTGTGCATGTGTTGCTTCTTTTTTAAAATAACTTATTTTATTTATATAAAGTAAACAAGTTTTCCATATTTTACAATGCAGTTAGCTTTGGGGAGTGCTTCCTCCACTGGTTTGGCTGCTGCTTGGCATGCCTGTATTTTGAATCACAGAACCTGGGTTTGAATTGCAGCTGGCTTTCCAAGTCCAGAACTGGGAGGCAGCAGGTGATGGTTCAAGTGGTTGGACACCTGCCACCCACATGGAGGAAGAGTCTGATTGAATCCAGACTCCTGGCTTTGGCCTGGGCAAGCCCTTGCCGTTATAAACTTTTGGGAAGTGAACCAGCAGATGAAAGATTCTCTCTTATGCGTTTATACTCTCACTCCCCCTCGTTTCTTTTTCCAATTAAATAAAATTAAAGAAATTTAAAAAGAACTTGTTTCAAAAAAAAAAAATCACCAGACATCATATTACTCCAGGAGCATGAGATATTTATTACAAAAAGTATGAATATACTTCTATGAAAGAGGTCAGTAGAGAGATCTACAAGAAGAAGTTAAAGAGTCAGATGAAATCAACAAGGCAGCAGATCATCAAATGAAATAAGTTACTCAGAAGTTTTGACATTATGATGTCTTACATGCAATTACAGGCAACTGACACTAGTTAGTGTCCCTAACACCAGACCAATAACTAATGTGTTTCTCTTGTCCTCACTTCCTAACATGTTGAGAGTGATGTGGGAAGTCAGGTAACGTGTGTAGACAGTGAAATCACATTGAATTAATGAAAAGCGTTACACACCAGGGATGTAGCCGACTTTGTAAAACTTGTTCTTTTTGCCCTACCCAAAGAGTCATTAGTTAGAAATTCATATTCTTTGGGATCCTGAACAATGACTCAGTGGTTAAATCCTCACTTGCAAACACTTCCCAAGCACTAGATCCCATATGGGCCCAGTTCATGCTCCACTTCCCATCCAGCTGCCTGCTTGCAACCTCGAAAGGCAGTAGGCAATAGCTCAAAACCTTAGAACCCTGCACCAGTGTGAGAGACCCGAAAGAAGCTTCTGGTTTCAAGTCAGCTCAACTCTTACCATTGGGACCATTTGTGGGAGTGAACCAGACGACTGAAGACCTTTCTCTTTGCCTCTTCTTTCTGTAGATTTGCCTTTCCAATAAGAGCAAAAAAATTAAAAAAAAAATTGTAACATCTTATGGATCATCAATCAAAGGCAAGGTTGTCTGTTGTTGTTATTCTCATGTCAAAACAAGGAGAAACTTCTGGTAATTTTAGCCATTGAGTCATGAAAGTGCTCCATTTTAGATGAACTTAGCTGTATGCACTCACATAAATCAGTTAGTAGAAAATTCACTGACTGCTAGGAGGTAGTGGTTCAGTGTTAAAAGAGTTATCTGAGATTGTGAGTATTAAAATTTCTTTCAGTTAAATATAGGATAACAATATTCCAAGGTCTTTGGGCTTAGTCTGGGTATTAAGAATGAAGGTTCTTTCAAGGGCATCTTGAATTTAGATATGTCTTTTCTGAATTTCCAATCAGCAAGGGTAAGGACCACATCTCAATTTGCAACTTTAGTCTTAATCTTCTTTTTGGCAGATTTAGCTGTTTCTAGGAAGTGTGAAAGGCTTACAATGGTAAGATGTTTTTGAAAAAGTCTGTCTGAGTGGACTAATACAGAGCACTCCTCAGAAATGTTGGTTCTTTCTGGATTTATTTAGCCTAAGTTTAAACATGTAAATTCCTTTTTTTGGGAAACTCTGCTGAGAGTTTGTTTTTTCAATCAAGATTTGCTTCCCACTATTTTTCTTTATCTTTTGTTGCAGCAATCTATAGTATATTAGAAATATGAAGCTTTTAAAATTCACCTTCTAGTGGGTTTCTTCAATCTCTCCCATTCTTATTGTATCAATTTGGAAGGAATGAAAACAAAACTAAAAAATCCTTACACCTCTAGTCTGTAGGGATTCTATCTTTCAAAGGTATTTATAGGAAGTAATGGTGTTTCCTCTTTGTTATTTGGCAAACACATATTTTTTTTAACTTAATAATTAAGTCATGGTGGAATTAGTGTGAACCTAGAATCAACTGTAGGTCAGGAATATAGAGATGACGTGTACGTAGCTGCTTCCTGGGCAAGTCAAACTTGGTTTGCTTATCTAAAGGTTACAGAAGGAAGTTGGCACAGAGACTGGCAACAAGCTCTGAGAATAACCCAAGTGCAGCGTCTGAGTTCCTGAGGACAGCAAGTCTGCATGAGTGAAGTCACTTCAGGACATCTGGCAGCCCCTTTCTCCCCTGCCTAGTACACAATTTGCTGAAGACGCGCTGTACGTGGTTGGTCTAGACACATGTGGAAGACCACCTCACCCCTGTCAGGACTGCCTCTTTAACCTTGAGGTTTTGTAATAGAAAGTCTGATTATGGTGTATGGTATCGTACGGTATACACAGGAGTGAATATCACCTGACTTTCCAACGCACAGCCTCCATGGGTTGTCTTATGCTGATGACCCTGGATGTTACAGCAAAAGACTCAGAGCAGCACTGAGAAGACACAGTTGGTGCAGCCTGGACTTAATGCTGTTCATGGTTCTGTTATCCCAGGTGGCAACTTATTAGGTTAAGTAAAACTCTAATTCAATTATGTGTCAACATGAGAAAATATTGACTTACCTTAACTGAAGGAGTACTAAAAGTTAATATGTTGAGGAAGTTCAAATGGTGTTTTTTTTTTTTAACAAGTATCTTGCAACAATAGCTAGGAAAGAAAAATCAGCTTTTGGAAAATGTGTGGAAAATACTCACTTACCTTCTTTCCCAGTTGGATACAAAAGGAATATTGTATGTTAATATTTTGAGGACGTTCAAACATTTTTCACACTAGTATCTTGCAAGACAAATTTATTTTCCAGTGCTTGGATGAGTTTATAAAAGTTTGAAGAGATGTCATAGCAAAATATTTGCTAAATGGTGATATTTTTAATACGCAATTTAAAAATTGTATGATATTAAAAATTAGAATATTGTATGATTGTTAATCTTATTCCATAAGGAAATCAAGTCTCATATTTTCTTAGGCTGGTGTTCTTGCACAAGACAAGTCCTTTCACTCTGTTCTATCACCTCCATCTTGAGTGACCTCTCCCCTTTAAAACCACATCAAAACTTAAAATGAGCTAAAACTTGGACTCCACTCTAGAGTTTTTCTGATTCCATACGCATTAGAACATGGAGCCTGTATGTCTGGTGTCCAATTGTTTGGATCTCCTCGTCTGTTGTAAGCTATATGCATATGGGGACACTGCCTTGTTCTTCTCTTTTCTCTCCATCTCCAAGCACAGTGCATTCTCCATATTAAGTTTCAGAGAACTTTTAATGTAGGAATTTAGGAATTAGAGTACCTTTCATTGGTTGAAATCTTTGATTTTTGAGGAAATACAATATGTGCACCTTGAAACAAAATCACTCCATATTCTACATTTAAATTCTACAGACATAAGATGTAAGGGAAAAATAATGGGACCTCTAAAAACTTTAAATCACTATTTCTCATTATTTTAGATGCTCAGTTTCTTACTGCTATTTCCTTCCTTTTCTCTGTTGACTCTAACAGATATCTGAGCTTTGAATTTCTTCAAGGCATTTTACTAAATTGCATCGGGTTTTCTTCACATAGCTGCTTGGCGTAATTTCTGACAGAGTATTGTAGATGCTAAAGGTGCTGTTGAAAACACTGAACTAACTGTTTTAGATTAAAAATGCTTTCATTTTTCTGAAACACATCTTTGGCACTTATTTTCATTGCAATCAGTTCAGTGTCACAAATATTCTGTTCAATTTGCAAGATTGCCCAGGTGCAATGCCCATAAATACCCTAGAAATTCAGAGACAGACTGATCAGAATACAAAGCACTGGACTTTGTGCAGAGGGCAAGGCCAAATTTAAGACATGCAAGGATCAAAGATGCTCTCGAATTCTCCCTAAAGGCTCCACCACAGGAAGGTGGGGGGAGCATCTTCAACAGTGTTGGAAAGTTCCTGTTGTTCCATTTCTGCTTGGCGGCCCCTGTGTATGATCATTACACGGTTTATGGGGCCTATTGCAAGACCCTAGACAATTCTTGAAGTGCCTGTCCTGACTCCTGACACTTAACTCCTCTTTCACCCTCGACAGTATTAACACAGAAGGTAGAGGACGCTTACGTGTATTTGCCACGTTAGTAAAGGGACTTGAGAATGTGCTATTAGTTCATCAGTGAAATCTTGACATTTTAAATTGATTCCATAGGTCTGGTTTAGCAACCGCCGTGCAAGATGGAGGAAGCAAGCTGGGGCCAATCAACTGATGGCTTTCAACCATCTCATTCCGGGGGGATTCCCTCCCACTGCCATGCCGACTCTGCCAACATACCAGCTGTCGGAGACCTCTTACCAGCCCACATCGATTCCACAAGGTACAGAAGAAGAAATCAAAATGTAACTTAAAAAAATATGTCAAGGAATTCAAATGTAACTTTTACTTGCTTTCTCTGGTGGATATTTCATAAAGGCAAGATTCCTTTGTAATGTCGACACTGATGCTTGCTTGCATATCAGTTTTTTCAGGGTGCCCTGAATATACCTGTCATATTTTAGAAACACGGCTTGCTGTATGACAAAGCTGAATCTCTCTAGATAAACTGTATGGTAACATAATACTACTGCAGTATTTTAAGACAAAACAGCCTTTCTAAATAAACCTAGGATTTGCTTTTCTTTTGGAAAACTTTTACCACATTTCTACTCCAGTTGCTAACTAACTGAAGTTCTACGGTGGCTACTAACTGTAGTAGGAACAGAGGAAAGAAAACCTTCGGGAAAGTCACTGTTTGTTAGTAGCACATGAACTAGATGCTAAGACTCAATTATTTTAGATCATGAGAGACAACAAAGTAGGTGCTTTAAAAGTGTGTTTGCTAAGAAATTTGCGACTTGGGGTTCTTTTACTAATTGGTGTATTGCCTCATCACGTTCACTGTCCAAACAGGCGTGTTAGTGTTGTTCTTGTGATTTCTACACCTGCACTCAGGGTACCATGAGAGTATACACGCCAATTGTGTACTTGGAAATAGACACAGAGAGAATCTGTGACCATGTCTGCTATGAACGATTCTGTACCTGTGTATTAAAAGATAAGTTTGCAATGAACATTTGGTTTGATGACTGTACGGCACTGATGGCTCAGTGACTTGTCAGTGAACCGTCTTTGCATCCCTGTGCAGAATCCTGATTGGCTGACGACGTTTTTCATTTCAGCTGTGTCGGATCCCAGCAGCACCGTTCATAGACCTCAGCCGCTTCCTCCTAGCACTGTACACCAAGGCACTATTCCTTCGAACCCGGACAGCAGCTCTGCCTACTGCCTCCCCAGCACCAGGCATGGATTTTCCAGTTATACAGACAGCTTTGTGCCTCCATCAGGGCCTTCCAACCCCATGAATCCCACCATTGGCAATGGTCTTTCACCTCAGGTCAGTCACATGGTTTTAGACAGACAACCTGCTGTATACCAGATCTGAATTCTCTGCGGCAGTAGTATAATGAATTGCCAAATTTAGACCATAATATATCCTTTATACAAGCCACATGATTTCAGTTTTCTTGCTTCCTTTCTCTCCAAACTTCCTACTGGCTGCATCCAATGTTGTGGCTTAGATTTAACATCCAAGTGATTTCTAACATAATCACAGACTTCGTGTTTAGTCCTGGCTGTCTAGGCGTTGTCACATGTTGTCTTCTCCATCTCGGGTCTGGGCGTTGGTTAAGAAGCTCACCAACACTGATGGATTGTGTGTGTGTGTGTGGTTTTTGCTTCAAATGATGGTTGGTCAGCTGGTAGAATGATAAGAAAAGCCACCTTGCACCAAAACAGTAAAGGTTTGACAAGAGGGTTGGAGAAGAAGCAAACAAGTTGTGTGGAGAGATGCAGCTGATGACCACAGAACTCTGGAATCAATGGATTCTAACAGCACAGATTAGAAAAGTGACTGCTCTTTGGGAATATATAAAAATCTGAATGTTGTGATTGTTTTTATAATTTGCATTGCGCTACGAGTTTTTCTTGGGAGATCATATTAATAAATGGCCTTGACAATTGCATGTCAGAGGGGTGGTTAACTTTCCTACACGAGGCATCTGTCTCAGGTTGACATTATTAGCAGTTGGTTAAATACAGATTGCTTGATTTTATTAGGGAGCACTTGGCCCAGGTGGTGAGGAGAGCTGCCCACTAAATTTGGAGAAATGTCACAAAGGGGTTGCAATCTATAATTGCAATCAGGAATCTCTTCAGGGCTAAGAGTGAGAGTTTTAACAGCTTTATCTTTTCTCTACCTCCTTTCTCCTCTCGGTGGTTAGGAAAACAGAGTGAAGCTCAGAATGACACAAATGAAAAGTGAAAAGACAATTATAGTCAATTACACACTAATCACTGACTATCACTGCTGCCTAAGCACCAAGAGGGCATCCTAATAGGCAGAAAATGAGATTTTAATGGCACAAAGGGTGGCCAAAATAACGACTCCTCTATCTTTGCCTTCTTGGTTTTCTTCAACTTGCGGTGAGTGTTTAGGGCGTGGAGCTCCTGGGCTCTGCGCAATGGTGATAACTCCGAGCAGCTGAGGAGTTCAAAGCCGCTGGAGTTGAAAAGAATGGACGGCAAAGGCAATGAAATAAACATTTCTGCCTAAAGGCAAAAGTTCATAAATCCTTTTTTTTATAACAGTAAATGTAATTAAGTTTCAGATTCCTATAGGACATCCTGGGAGTTGGAAAAAAAAAGGGAGAGAGAGAGATGCTTTTAAAGCTCAACTGAAAAATGACAACATGAAAACAATGAAAGTACTCCCAGTAGGAGTTGAATGCACTAAGTTTCCAAGTACTGGCATTTGTGGGTGTGATCTGCATGAAAATGACGGACTTATATCAATAGAGTCATTTTCAAAAATACCCAAGCTCATAGCCTGTGAACTTATTCCGCAGTCTAGAAATAATATCAGAAGTAATTGTTGAGATTTTTAACATTAGCTTTTTGGGGCCAAAGGAAAAAGCTTCTTATGAACATGATTAGTCACAAGTTTCAATAACAGTAAACTTCAACCCTAGCCAATTCTGTCAGGGAAGAGCCAGGATTCCATCAGCGTTTCTTAGTACCCATTTTATTCCATCATTATAAAAATAACAACATGAACCCAGGTTCTGTAAGTGAAACTGCTGGTTTCTCATATTTTCAGATGCTTTTAAAGCTCAACTGAAAAATGACAACATGAAAACAATGAAAGTACTCCCAGTAGAAGTTGAATGCACTAAGTGTATTATCTTGTATAAGTGTATTACATAAGTATTACATAAGTGGAACTGCAGGAACTTGATCTTTAAACTGTTAATCCTTGACTTCAAGAAGCCTGGCTATAGTTCCAGAGTTGGTGGAAGCGGGGAATCGTTCCAACATTAAGCAATGGAAAATTCCACAGACAATTCCCCCTGTTTTTCTCAATTCTATTTTACATATTATGCTAATTCCTTACTTAGAACACTATGAAGATCCAGAATCCTTTGCATCACTGTCACGCATTTCCATCTCAAACCTCCACTTGGAAACCATGCTGTGCTAGTTCTCCTAGTCTCCCCAGTGGGTTAGGAAAGTGACAGACACCCGGAAGTCCCTCCCCTACTTTCGAGGCAAAGAAGGAGAATATCAGTGTTTGCTGAACATACTGCTCAAGCAGTGGAAGAGATAAGGTTAGAGTCATTCCTGTAGCCTTCGAAATTGATCACTTCTCCTGACTGCCTCTGTTTAGGTAGTAGGTGCCAACACTAGCTTTGATTATCTAGAATTATTAAAAATACTGTAAAGAAAATCATTAAGGTAAAGGGCTAATGGCTAACTACCCAATTTACCAGTAACTACAGAAGAGACTCTTTGATCTCCTGGCTAATTTCTTTCTTTCTTTCTTTCTTTCTTTCTTTCTTTCTTTCTTTCTTTCTTTCTTTCTTTCTTTCTTTCTTTCTTTCTTTCTTTCTTTCTTTCTTTCTTTCTTTCTTTCATTTGAAATGCAGATTTACAGAGAGAAGGAGAGAGAGGAGAGAGAAAGCTCCACTGTGGCTGGAGCTGAGCAGGTCTGAAGCCTGGAGCCAGGAGTTTCTTCTGAGTTTCCCATGTGTGTGCAGGAGCCCAAGGACTTGGGCCATCCTCGACCTCCTTTCCCAGGTCATACATAGAGAAGCGAATTGGAAATGGAGCAGCTGAGACCAGAATCGGCACTCATAAGGGATGCTGGTACCACAAAGTGGAGGATTAGCCTGTTGAGCCATGGTGCCGGCTCCTCATCATTGCTTTTAATCACTGCTTTTTCTGCGGAAGTGCTTATTAATATATTGGGTCCTATGATACTAGCAGTGGAGCCACTATAGTGGTTACCACTTTCCCCCTTCCTTCCTCCGCCTCTGCGTAGTGATCTAATATGCAGACCAGCCAGGTGAGGCCCAGAGATGAGATTTGCTGCAGACCTTGTGACTAGTGGGAGGGAATCGAGACCAGCATCTGGAATGCTTGACTCTTGACCTAGGAAGGATCTTGACCGCTGTAGCTGTGTGAAGAGAGAATAGGAGGGTTAGGAGGATTTAGTCATATTTTCAAATGACTTAGTGGAGACTAGTTTTCTAAACTTTGGGAGTCAAGTTAACTGACATTCTTTTCATTTCTAATAATCATAGCACCGCATGTAGATTGTAGAAAAAGTTACCTTTAAGAAATATGTTTAAGGGAGAAAAAAGTCCCGTCAGCACTATTAATATTGTTGTACATCATCTTCCAACTCTTTGTGTCATGGCTTTTTGAACAATCTAACTGACATAGTGGTGCATATCTCTTTGCTTTTGGATTTTTCTCTATATTTAGCATCCCCAGCTTTTTCCCACTAAAGAACTTAGGCTGGGTTGCAAAAACTGAGTCTTTATAATTAGCGTCTTATACATTTCTTCAGTGGAGGCCATTTGACATGCTAATTATATTTGTGCATTTCATTTGATTTTTTCTCCCTGTGTCCTTGAAATGAATGTGCTGTTTCCCACCCAGACCTGAAAATCACATGCTGGAATGTGTGTGAAACACTGTAGAATGGGCTTGCTGGATTTTGCTCAAGGAAAGGAATTTATAGGCAAGCCTTAGCATGGGCAGAATCACTGCTCCCTGTTGCTTCATTTGAATCTGAGTTAGAGAGAGGTGGGCTTGGAGGATTCCCAGCGCATGGCTGAGTGTGAAGCAGCGACTATGAGAGAGCACACCCATCTGGCAGAGCAGATAGCCAGCAGTAGATTCAGGTGTCCTTGTGACTCTTCATCTCAAGATACTTACAAAAGGCCTTTAACAACTTTGCGCATATCCTTCCTTAAACTGCTGAAGGAATCTATGTAGTTTTCCTTGTTGTAAGAGGATGAATGCTAAATTGGGTTACTCTCCGGTTTTTCTTGTGGAAAAACTGAGGCCAAGGTAGCAACAACTTCTAAATGACAGAGTGAGTCTCTCAGACAGAAGAGCCAGATCTCTCCCTCTAACTCTTGAGTTGTTGCTAGTTCTCTTAGGAACCCAAGTTACACAGTTCAGTGGCTGGTGTCAGCCAGAGCAAGAATTATAATGTGCTAGCAAATTTTCGCTGGGCTCTAACTGAATATTAGGCCTGATTTTCCTGCAGGCGTGTTTGAATGACTTCACAAACGTGTGGCTTTCCAGCCCACTGGAGGCCGGTTCTGTCAGTGAACTTGAGGCAAGAGTCTTGATGATGAGTAAGAAGGCGGTAGACTGATAACTTTGGCATTTCTATCTTTTGAGTAGCTGCCAACCTGAAAACCCCTGCTAGGTGATAGGGTCTGTACGTTGACATGAAAGCCATTCTGCTCACTCGGGTGAGGATTTTCCCTTGGAGCAGCTTGCAGTTCTTCCTGAAAACTTGTGTTTTCTTTGTGTGGAGAACAACGTCAAACAAGGGAAGATACGGAATGTGTATTGCCTTACCCTCCCTCCCAGATATTGTGTTCCTATCGCCTTCCTGCGTGTGCACGAGGGAAGAGGATGCTGAACTGGAATGTAGAACTCCAAGGAAACACTACCATGTGCTCAAGACGTGAGATAATTAAAACTCGGCCCATGTTCTTCTAATTAACCCCCCCTTTGCAAGAAACACTACCCTTCCTGCTCCCCAACCCCCAAAACATACATAGCCAACCCCCTCCCAAACAAGACCAATTAAATTAGGGCACTTTTATCACTGCATGCCCCACCCTGACCCTACTTCTACAAACTCCACAGTTCTTTGGTGACAACTCCTAATGATTTCTTCAGTCAAATTCAGTATCAGTGGGCAACAGGGTTTCCTGGGAGATGTTTTGTTGTTCCACAGTGTACAAAAATGGGCCAACTTGGCTGCATATAGGATTCATCAAGCATTGCAAGTGATTCTTCAAATGTTTTGGG